TTCTCTCTCTCTCTCTCTCTCTCTCTCTCTCTCTCTCTCTCTCTCAAGAGATTCATTTATTTATTTTATATGTGTACACCATTGCTGTCTTCAGATACATCAGAAGAGGGCATCAGATCCCATTACAGATGGTTGTGAACCACCATGTGGTTGCTGGGAATTGAACTCAGGACCTCTGGAAGAGCAGTCAGTGCTTTTAACCACTGAGCCATCTCTCCAGCCTGACAGGCAGTTCTCTTAAGTTTCATTGCCAGCTTGGTCTAAATAGCAAGTTCCAGACCAGCTAGGACATAGTGGAACAGGGAACTGAAGCCCCTCAGGGTCCTGGCTTCAGTCCAGTGGTGACATCTCTCTTTCAGCCTCATTGGCATCAGAAAGTTTATTCCAGATTCCTGCAACAAATCTAAATTCTGCTGTTTAATTTGTTTGCTGTGTTCTTTGCGTATTGTAAAAATAAGCTACAAGCAATACTATGCACCCTTCCACTGATTCTATTGTATTGTTAGTTTGTACAAATGAGCACAGCGGGTGCTGAGCAGGCTGGGCATTGATGCCACCCGGCAGTTGGGGATTGGAGGGCATGGTCAGTGGAGATTTAGATTCTCCAACAGCTGTAGGGAGTCAGGCTGGCCCTTGTTGAACTCACACAGCAGAGGGGACTGCACTGTGGATGTTCCTATGATGGACAGCTCCTGGTGAACAAGGATCCCTTAGTTCCTTTCCCATCTGAATTGGGGAATGGGGTCACTTAACAGACTCCAGGCTGCTTCTCCGGGGAAACTTTTAGGGGAGACAAACTTTTAGGGGAGAACCTTAGCATTCATGAGTTTCTAAGCTTGATTAAGTTTTAACACATTTCCCAGTAACAAGACATCAGGCAAACAGGCAAACAGACAGAACAATGATTGAACATCTGTGTATCCTTCAGCCAGCCTGATTTCAATTTTAACTTTCGGGCAGTTTCTATTTTGCCTCTTTATATGGTGGTCATGGTCATGAATTTGCTGTTTATCATCATGAGGTCCTGTATTTCATACTTCAGGGGCTCCCTCAATGTGAGGGTCTCTGCTCATTGGACTAAAGGCTGGATTGCTGCCTTAAAATCTGGCTCCGGAGTCACTGTGTGACCTCTGTGTGGTTATTGAAAATTCACAGTGAGGCCAGACTTGAAGAATAAGGCTTTTCAGACCCTCCGTTTATCAAAGAAGGATGCTAGTCCCTGAGTATCATCAGTCTCTTGGCAAATTTCAGATGGTGTGGAGAAACATAGTTTAGGAGCAGTTGACTTAAAGCATAATTATGTTGCTGATGCGTCCAGCTCCCAGACACATAGCTGAGCGAAAGGTTTTTATTATCCACACGATAGAGCTTACTTTTTCTGTCTTAGATGCCTTACAATATAGTCTATTTTTTGTTTGTTTGTTTCATATTAATTACTTTGTTCCAACAAATTGATTCCATTAGGTAGGATCCCACAGTTAAAAACAAAAATCCATACCACCCCCATTGAAAAAAACTGTCATTTGTTCTTTGGAGCAGAGAGGTAGGCTTTTGGTGTTTTAAGTGTATTTAGTTGAACTCTGCTGAACGTGTTTTATGAAAGACTTTCTTTACCACTGAACTATGAGTGAAGATTTATGCGATAACTTACTAATAACAAATCCCACATAAAACTAAGCAGAATCCTAAGAGCTCCCAGGCTCATGTTCTCTTTCTCCTGAAAGCTTCTGACCACACCGACCATTGCTTCAAGGCAGCCTGTCTAGATTGAGTAAACAGAACTCATACATGGTGACTTCACTATACTTTATAAATTCACAACCGTTAAGCCACAAAATCAGGCTTTCAAGAAAAAACTTGAGAGTAAGTCAAACTGCCCAGTGAAAAAGAACAGCTTTGGAGCCTTTCGCTGGCCTCCTCAAGCACAGTTTGTTCCGGACCATCCTAATAAGGTCCTCATGAGGAGGGGAGCGTGTGAGCGTTGTCTTCCATGTATGGGACGTTATCCAGTTTGCCTAACCTTAGTGCTTTTTGGAGGTGCTGATCCTGGCCACAGGAGCAGGGGGATCAAGGAAATTTATTCCAAAGAAGTTCAAGGTCTAGAGCAAAACTCAGTGATGGCCTAGCATGCTCCGGCCTTGTACTGCAAAATAAAAACAAAACAAACAGTTAAAAAATGGTAACTTTCCCTCAGGGAAGCAAAGGGGAAATTGATACTTAAAGCATGTTAAACAAGCAGCTGTAGGAGATTTTTGCCCTATGCTGATTCTAAGAGTCCCAAGGGGTCAGTTTGTTTCACAGTGACATGACCAGTCTCCTTGAGGTCTTCCTGCCACTCAACAGACACATTTAAATTTGGTAGTTGAGGGATCCTCACCATTTTTAACAGAAAAATGACTTGAATGGATTGTGTTTGTGAGGACAGAGATCGGAATGGGAGAAAGTGTAGGGGAGACGCCACACTGGGAACGCAGTCATGCTTGGGCAGGCTGCACTCAGTGCTGGGTAGACGGAGAGGAAGAGAGAACCGACAATTAGAGATGTGCAAGGCGGTGACGGAGATCTGGCTGGGAGCAGGATGGGGAAGGCAGGCTCAGCAGTGCCTTGGAGTTTTCCACTTAGAGCACTAGAGGGTACTTTATCCCCTCAGTCCGTGCTCACCTAGTCTGAAAACGACCCAGATGGCTCATGAAGGCTTGTTCTGTCTTTCAGAGTCAGAGTCAGCTGGCCTTACCCTTCAAAGGCTTTGGAAGAAGCCACTCCATCTCCCAATTTGAATCGGTCCCCACCGCTTCCAGAAGGAAAGGCAAGCTTGCTCCTATGACATCTGCGGACAGGTACTTACCGCTGACTTGCCCAGGGCCCTGGAAGCCTTGAAAGGTCTCATCCTCTTTCCCCGTGCAGGAGCCTGAGGTCCACCTCCTATGCACCCCAGCACCCCCATCAGCTCCCTGTTCTCCTTCACCAGCCCCGCCGTGAAGAGGCTGCTGGGCTGGAAGCAGGGAGATGAAGAGGAGAAGTGGGCGGAGAAGGCGGTAGACTCTTTGGTGAAGAAGTTAAAGAAGAAGAAAGGCGCCATGGATGAACTAGAGAGGGCGTTGAGCTGCCCGGGCCAGCCTAGCAAATGTGTCACCATCCCACGATCCCTAGATGGACGCCTCCAGGTGTCCCACCGAAAGGGGCTGCCCCACGTCATCTACTGCCGCGTGTGGCGCTGGCCAGACCTGCAATCCCATCATGAGCTGAAGCCCTTGGAGTGCTGCGAGTTCCCATTTGGCTCTAAGCAGAAGGAGGTCTGCATCAACCCATACCATTACCGCAGAGTGGAGACCCCAGGTGGGTGCTTCCAGGGGTCCTTGTTTGCTTGGAAGTCAAGATCACCATGGTGATGCCACATCCTCAGTAAAATGACCTCCACATACTCGGGCAGTGAACATGTGAGGTAGAGGGACACTGAAGAAATACCTCCAAAACCATGCAGTCAGAAAATCATGATACTCTTATATGAAAAGGCTTGTAAGGTTGGTTTTGGAAGATGTGGTTTTATTTGAGTGGATTTAGGAAAACTAAGGAAGCCCGTTCTCCCCCATGCAGACTGAAAGCAATGACCATTAAGGTTAAATTGAAGACTGAGTGTAGGCTCTACCTTGCTTAATCTCCATTACACAGAAAGTGTCCAGTCTCCATCTGAAACAGTCAAGGGGAATTGCTGAAAGAGTCCAGGACTGAAATAAGGGGCCGGGGACTGTAGGTCATTGTTCCTAAATACGTTTTTGCTGGCTTCCTGGCTTCACGTGTGTGAGATAGTGCTCTTTCACTGAAAAGCCTCTTAGTGCCCCTTTTCCCCTTGGGTGGGAGTAAACCTAGGGCTTCGCACACCATGTGTGAGCACCCTGCGGCTGACCGTACTCACTGCCCTTCAAAATGCTTAAGATTTTATGTTTTAAATACAGAAAATTACATTTCCAAACTCTTCACACACCTGCTTGAGCATGCTTGTGTGTGTCCATCCAAATAGCTCCCGTCTTTGTGAGAGGTCTGCTCTTATCTCCACTGTACCAGTTTCCTGTCCTTCCTTTGGGGGGTGGGTGTTCCTGTGGCCTTCCAGGGGGAAGCTTTTTTAATGGACACCTTCTCTGTTTGATTGACTAACTGTCTAGTTCCAGGAACTTGGAGAGATTGCCCCATCCCACTGTGCTGTCTGAATGGAAGTCCAAGTATTCTCCTGCAGTGTTGTATCCAAACCCCACTGCACATCAGAGGCTCATTGACAGGCCTCAATTTCCCCAAACTTGCCATCTTGCTGTCAAGAACATCACATCTCCGTGTATGGGGCTTGCTTTCTGGGACTGGGATCCTGTCAGGGAAGGTGATTAGAAGGTTGCACTCTCTCAGCAAACCTGATGAGTTTGTTCCAAATGCCATCTTGCCTTCCTTCATCCCTCTGGACTCTCTTTACACACCAGGAATCTGAAAGTGCCCATGGTTTGCTCTTCACCATTTGAGGATAGCCGTCATCACATAACAGGATTCTGAACAAAACAAAACCCCATTAACAAAATCTGAGTTTATTTAAAAAATGGTTTGAAGGTTTGGGTTATACTAGACTCAAAAACACATATCTGATGGGAAAATGTTTATCACGAAATTCTTTCTGGGAGGAGAGATGGTCCAGCTGGTAAGATCACACACATTGCTCTTGCAAAGGACCCCACTTTGGTTCCAAGCACCAATGTTAGCTGTAACTCCAGATCTAGGGGATCCAACTCCCTCTGTGATCATCTGCAGATGTCCGCCTCCACACATAGAGAGTGAATCTTTCCAGAATAATTTCTGAGTAACAGTTCCACAATGTAATCATTTAGGATGTGTGTCAAGATACACTTTGTTTTCTTCTCAGGTACTCACTCAAAAGCCAAATTTTATAGAGTTTTTTTGAGTTTTCACTTTTCATTTGAGTTTAGGATTTTCTTAAGATAAATGTCTGAATATTTTACATATGTAGATAGCTTTTGTGTCATTAGTTTTAGGTTTAAATTTCTAAAAAGATGAGCCAAGATTATATAATTTAATATATAATATTAATAATATATATTATTTGTAGTAATACATTTTATATATTATTTATTATAATATATTTATATGTTATATAAATATATTATTTATATTAATATATGTAATTTATAATATTATATTTAATTTATAATATTAATTTAAAGTAATATTTAAGCTGCAGGTTTTTTTCCCACTCCTAACAACTTTTTAATAGAATGAGGTGATTTTCCTTACAAGAATCGAACTGAAATTGACCTAGAAGCCCCCTCCCTGAGGGCTGGTTCTCAGTATCTGAAGGGTTATGCAAGCTTCTGCAGAAGAAAAGTGGTCCTACCTAGCTGTAAAGGACCATAACAGTGAGCAGCCTGGCAAGATGTCCTCAAGGGTACAACGGTGGCCCTTATATCCTAGGGATAACCATCAGCTGTCTAATTTGACAGCCCTCTAGAACTTCAGATTGGCACTATGGTCAAAACTCCACCAACTCTCAGGTTGTTTTCAGGGTCCAATGTGGCCTCTCATGTTACCAGGAAAGCTTGGGTCCCCTCTTTCAGGTTCTTAGTCTCTTTAATAAAATAATTTGTGCTGGGCAGTGGCTCAAGCCTTTAATCCCAAAGCTGGTGAGGCAGAGGCAGGTAGATCTCTGAGTTCAAGGCCAGCCTGGTCTATAGAGTAAGTTCCAGGAGGGCCAGGGCTACACAGAGAACCTCTGCCTTGAAAAAGTACCATCACCACCGCCACCACCAATAACAATAATAACAATAATAATAATCTGTAAATAGCTGTCACTCATGTTTATTTTAATGAGTGGAACTCAGCTGGCCCATGCCTGTAACCCCATCTATTCAGAGGCTGAGGCAAGAAGATGCATTGTCAATGTCTGCCTGGCTTATACACTAGGTTGAAGGTCGGCTGAGTAACTTAGTGAGATCTTATGGTTTGGTAAAATGAGGGCTGGGTGTGGCTCAGGTGGTAGAGCACTTGCCTAGCATGTGTGAAGCCCATGGGTTTCACCTCCAGTACTGGGAAGGTGGAGGAAGGCCAGAAGAGCCCTGCTGACCTGGACACACTTAATTGATAGATTTTCATGCTGGCTCTGATCTCTACTTCACTTCTTCATGTACCATTTCTATTTTACTTGATGGCTTTTGGTCTCTTGCTTTTAGGTCATTGTGGTAAGGTCATAGAATAGTTCCTCAGTAGCAAGGAGTTTGAACTTGAGGCTAATCAACTAAATAATTCAAAGTGATTTCTAACGGAAAATATTCTGGGCCTCACCTAGGGTTTTATTGCAAGCATTTGGAACCAGCTATGCCTCTTTTAAAAGGGACTTTATTGGCAGGGTTGAGGAAAGATGGAAAAAAGATGGATACCACAGTGGGAGACCACGGGAGCCTCCTGAACTTAGTAACTGTGATGGTCTGCTTAAGATGCAGGTGGCAAGGAGGGTTGGTGACCAGCATAGCCCCCAGAATCTTCTTGGTAGATATGACCTTTGTCCGGAGCTTTCCATGAACACATGTGCGGAGAGGGGGCTGGTGGAGGAAAACCAGCCCTATCACAAATGGCCAAGGGACAACATCCGCTGTCCCAATCCATCGCGGGCCAAACTTAGTGCACCCTCTGTTCTTGTCTTTGCTCCTAGTTCTGCCTCCAGTGCTGGTACCAAGACACAGCGAGTATAACCCTCAGCTCAGCCTCCTGGCCAAGTTCCGAAGTGCCTCGCTGCACAGTGAACCCCTCATGCCGCACAATGCCACCTACCCTGACTCTTTCCAGCAGTCTCTCTGTCCAGCACCGCCCTCCTCGCCAGGCCACGTGTTCCCGCAGTCTCCATGCCCCACCGGCTACCCGCACTCTCCCGGAAGTCCTTCCGACTCAGACAGTCCCTATCAACACTCAGGTCAGTCCATGGGAAATGCAACGCTTGCGGAGGATGATCGTAAGTGTGGTTGTCCCGTCTCGCACGTCTACAGTGCCTTTCATATCTCGCACGTCTATGGTTTTGGTTTACAGAGCGATCTGTGGGCCTGGGATGTCTAACTCACCACTCTCCAGAATAACCAGGAGTGGACCCATTTTGGAGTAGAACTGCAGATACGTATTTTTGGACCCAGTTAGTCTTTTTTCAGATACTAAATAGAATTGAATGTCATCCCTGGGCATTTACAAAATACGTGGTTATTAGTTGGTTTGTTTTGAAACGTGGTCCTACTTTTACACAGGCTGGTCTAGAACCCACCATTCTCTTGCCTCAGTTTTCCCAGTGCGAGAGTTAGAGGCACATGCCACTTTGCTGAGTGTAGAAGTAAGATTAACATATTGTTGTATCCACGAATAAAAATGTAAACATTTAAATACTAAAACAAAGTGCCGGCTTGATAACTCAGCAGGTGAAAGCACTTGCTACGTAAGTCTGCCAACCTGAGTTACATCCCCAGAACTTACGTAAAGGAGGAAAGAGAAAACATGGACTCCACAGAGTTGTCTTCTAATCTTCAGATGCACAGCATGCACACACAATAACCAACCAACCAACCAACCAACCAACCAACTAACTAATTAATTAACTAACTAATTAACTAACTAACTAAGTGAGTTTTGGCCTGAGAGCAAGCAGGCCATAAAAGAACCAAGTTTAGACCTTTGTTTGCTTGCCTCTTTGAACAATCAAAAGGTGTCTTTTACTCCAAAAGCCATGTTCACGAACTCAGGGAAGTGTAAAACTAGGCCCCAACTTTAACTAATACATTCTCTCTCTGCTCTGAAGCCAGGACAGCAGCTGAAGGTTCTTCAGGAGCTTCATGCTAGATTGAAAAAGCATATGCAAGAGGAAGGGACACTCTAGTGCAGTGGTCTCAGCTGCCTCTTTAGGGGGTCACATATCAGATATCCTGCATATCAGATGTTAACATTACAATTCATAATGTAGTAAAGTTACAGTTAGGAAGTAGCTACAAAATAATTTTATGGAGGTGATGGGGGTGTCACCACAACATGAGGAACTGTATTAAAAGGTAACAGTATTAGGAAGGTTGGGGACCACTGCCCTCTGATGTATGTGCTATGGCATCTGGGAAGTTGACCAAAGAAGAGACACAAAGAAAAGAATTATAGGAGCCTCTTTAATATGAGATTAATAATATCCGAAGCTAAGAGTGTCCAAAGGCCCGCATACACGCAGCTGGGGCCACAGTTACAGTCTAAGGCCTGCAGACACACAGCTGGGGCCTACAGTTACAGTCTAAGGCCTGCATACACACAGCTGGAGCCCACAGTTACAGTCTAAGGCCTGCAGACACACAGCCGGGGCCCACAGTTACAGTCTAAGGCCTGCATACACACAGCTGGAGCCCACAGTTACAGTCTAAGGCCTGCAGACATACATCTGGAGCCCACAGTTACAGTCTAAGGCCTGCA